CGGGGGGGGGGGGGGGGGGGGGGGGGGGTGGAAAAAGACTTTCACCTAAGTAGGAAGAAAGGGAAGCTGAAAGTGAGAGGCTGTTTGGTGCTCAGATGGGCTCAGCCCGTGCGCAGCAAAGTCTGCTGCTGCTGTGGTCAAAACGCAGTGAAGGAAAAAAGACTCTCTCATCCCCAGAGAAGGCTACAAAGCTCTCTTTCTCTCGCTGCTGAACCTTCACAGCTGGACTCAGTTGCTGGCTCCACTGCTGCTGGAGCAACTGAATTATTTAAAGGAACCTTGATTTGGTTTTCTCTTTGCTGTTTTCCTGCGTTGTGTTTATTGTCTATAGATATTTTTATAGTCCGAAGCAATTACAGCTGTCAGAAAAGAGACGAGCTGTGACAGGCTGATTTATATGTACATTGTATGTATGCAAGAGAGGGAGGGAGACCAGGGATTCTGCCCGGCTTTAGTATGCAGGATCATATTGGATGTAAATTCCTTGGGATTTTCAAACAATGCTGCTGATGATCTCCTAACAGTGGGCCAAATTCAGCCCTGGCAAGGGCTGGAACAGCTCTGCAGGTCACATCTGCCCCAGCCTCGCAAGCTTTCAATGCAGGGAGGTGTTTTTTCGCTCGTAATTTAAGATGCTCCTGGCGATCCGGGGCTGAATTCAGTGTTAAAAGGTTAACTGGCTGTGGTTATTGGAATCCCTCTGGTTTTGCTGACACAGGAGTTGGTCTCTGCCCATTCAGAGGAGCGGCCCCACAAAGAGCGAGCTCTTGTGTGATGGTCCTGCAGGTATCCCAGCGGGGTCCCCATCCTGCCGGGGTGCCTGGATGCCGCAGCAATCAGCAGGATTGCTGTGTTTTATTCTTTGCTCTCTTGTACACCCCGGTGCAATGACACAGCCCTGGACAGTCTTTTTCCCCTGCCTCTGACGGTCTCTCCTTATGCGGTGAGGTTTCAGAGACCCCTCCCATGTAATTTGTAGCCCCGAAGGATCGCTGAATGCGGCGTTCCCCCCTCTCTTGCCAGTTCCGATAGCCGAGTTCACTGCGGGGATTAAACTCCTTCTGCCAAGAGCTGAGGAAAGCTGCCGTTTCCTCTGGGAAAACACAGGGCTCGAGGCAGCACGTCCCACCAGCGCTAAATTCAGGGAGCAGAGAACCTTCAGACGAGGAAAAAGTGGAGAGACTTGCAGAGCAATCCCCTTCTCATATGACCAGCCAGCATGCACAATAATAATAAAGCTTTATTTGATGGAGTGTTTCCTCTGCCCGGCACAGCTCATAATGTTTTAGAGATTAAATAGCACAGTTAGTGAATTAAGCAGTAGTTTACAGGGGATTGGGAGACTCCAGGGATTAGTAACGGGCTATGGATCCTTTCACATCTAGGTCACCAGTTTGAATCCAGCTCAGGTTGCCAGCAGCAAACTCAAAAACAACAAAAAAAACCCCACCACCCCACGTTGGTGCCGTGCAAATGCTGCCGAGCACACGGTGAGGGAATGGAGGGAGGATTTTTGGGCAAGGCAAAGCAGGGAAGTCATTGGACACAGCAAGGGGAGAGACCTTGTGTTCCCTAAGGTTGGGCCGTGGCAGCGGGGGGGTTTGAGGGGTGCAGCACCCCAAAAGCTGTGATTTGACTGCTGCATCCAGGACTCTCTGCTCTGAGGATGCTCCCCAGCACCTTTTTACCAGCATGGAATTGTGCCTGGGAATATTAATGTGTTTAGCCACTAGCGGAGGGAAGGAGGAATTACTCGGCATAAGCAAATGTGATATTTGTTAAATTATGAGCTGATAAAAAGTACTCGGGGACCGTGCTTGCGGCTGGGGAGGAATTTGCCACTTAAGCTCACTCTGTGTCTGTGAGGTGCAGGGGACCAGGAGGACACGCTCCTGCCTCTCCTCATCATCACCTGGCTGGGGGGAAGGGGGGGGGATATTACCCGTGCCTCAGTTTCCCCTCCTGCACAGTGACTTTGCCGCCTGGGATGGGGATGGTGCAGAGATAGAGGAGGGCAAAGGGGAGAGTTGTGCGGTGCTGGCTGCGGGACGCAGGTAAGCGCAGGGGGAGAGAGGAGAAAGGAGCGGGGGTCTTGCCATCCCCCCGAAGAGCGCGGCGCGGCGGGGGTTAATGTGCGTGTCCTCCTGCGCATCCCGCCCCGCTGCCGCCCGCCCTCCCGCCCGTGTGCGGGGCTCGGGCCGTGCGGGAGCCGAGGCGCCGGGCAGCGCTGGAGCCGCTGCCATGACAACCCCGGGGATGCTGCCGGCCGGGGCCGGGGTGCTGCTGTCGCCGCCGCCCCCCCGCATCTCCCCCGCCCGCCGCTGAGGCCAGCCAGGGGCTCCGGCAGCCTGACATCCCCGCATTCTGCATCCCGCCGTCCTCTCATCCCCGTCCTGCATCCCGCCTGGACCAGTCCCCCGGCAGTGGGGCGGGAGGAGAGGAGCTGCAGGGCATCCCGAAGGCTTTTGCCTGCTGTGCCTTCTTGCACCTGGACATATTTGCTAGCTCGCCTCGGGGGTGTTTTTTGGGCTTTTTACTGGTTTTTGGACTGCCCCCGCCTCGGGACAAGCGTGCGGGAGTGGGGTACAGCCGGGCCCCCCCCGGCGCCTCCTCGCCCAAGTGAGCCTCGGACTGCTGCCCGAAGAACCGGCTCGCCCAGCACCTTTGCCACTTCTCCTCCTCCTCCTCTTCCTCCTCCTCCCCCCGGCCCTCCCGTCCTCCTCCCTCGCCCGAGGACAGCGGGACTCCCTCCGATGCCGCTCGGCAGGCTCAGCGCTCGCAGCCAGCCTTGCCGGGGGCTCTCCTGATCTCCGTGGAGCTCCGCAGCGCTCGCCCCGGTGGTTTTGCTCCCCCCCATCCCTCCTCTCCACCCACCCCTTCCCCCTTTTCGCCTTGTCGGGTGTGTTTTTTGCCTGTTGGAAAAGTCCCCGCTGCCCAGGATGGGGGTCGGTGGGTGCTTGGCCCTGCCCTGGAGGTGCCTGGTCGTCCTCTGTCTCAGGCTGCTCTTCCTTGTGCCCGCAGGAGTGCCCGTGCGCAGCGGAGATGCCACCTTCCCCAAAGCCATGGACAACGTGACAGTGCGGCAAGGGGAGAGCGCCACGCTCAGGTAGGAGCAGCTGGACGGGGGCTTGGGGGGGTCGGGGGTCCTGCTTGCGTGGTGACTTTGGGGTCGTGACTCAGTTTCCCCGCGGGGGATGCGCCGTGCCTGTTGGCGGTATATGATGATACCGGGCAGCGAGCTGAGAGATTGGAGTGCCAGGGCTTGGGCTCAGCCCTCCCAGTTGTCTTCGGGAAAGTTACTGGGGGTTGAAAAATAAGGGAGTGTGATTCCCTTTTGGCGTCCTGCCCCACAGCAGTGCGAGGCAGGGACTCAATTGCTGCTGTCGGTACCGTGGCTCGGGCACTTCGGCCGCGTTCGGTGCAGATAAATCCTGCTCTGCTCCTGGAGTGCAGTGCCCGGGGTGTCTTCATCCATGTCAGACCGCCCCAGCCTGGGGAAAGGGGAGTTGGTGACCCCCTGGTGTGGCTTTGTGCCTTTATCTCAGGTCCAGACCTGCTGGAATTGGGAAGTGCAGGACAGGGCTGGCCCCGGGCAGGTTAGTACTCCGCTCCTTAAAATTCCCCGTGCTCCAGAGGCAAGGGGTTGCTGCTCCCTGGCAGCATTCCCTCCCTGGGAAGGGGAGAGATGGGGGCTGGGCGTTGCACCAGGGTCCTGTCTCCTGCAGCAGCGATCCGAGGGGTCCAGGGGCTGCCAAGGAATCCGTAATTTTGCTCAGCATAATTTGTGGGACATCTTATGCCCAGACACTCGTCCCTGTCCTCACAGCAGATGGGCGCAGTCATCCCAGAGGATGTTTGATAGGGACATTAAAAGTCCAAAGGCAGGTTTTAATTGCAGCGCTGGGAAACGGCGCTTGCAACTCCGGCATGCTCGGGAGCGACTTTGCTGCTCCGGAGCATTGCATAGGTGACACCAACATCTGCGGGGCCAGCTGGGTGTGTGCGGTGACACCGCACTCCTGCTTTACGCCAGCCAGTGGAGAGGGGCCAAGCCAGGGCAGAAAAGAAAGCCCCGGGAGGAATTTCAGCAGGAATTTTCCTGCAACTCAGTTGTTTGCGGCCAAGTCTTGTGTCCCCCTCCCCAGCCCCTGAGTGGTCCTGGTGGGGTGGGAGCTGTGTTGTGGCCATTCTTCTGGATTTGTCTTGCGTCATGGCACGACTGGGCAAAGAGGCTGGAAAATGGGTGGCAGAGGATGGAGGACAGAGTGTCTTGCTTAGGAATTTGAGCTTGGCTTTAAAAAGTAGTGGCTCCTTTTCTTTCCTGAATCGCTGTGTTCTCCCAAGTGCCAAAATTCCTACAGATCCTGCTGTATAAGAAGGAGGGCTTTGGGTTACTGAGGGTCTGGGCAGTGAAACTCACGGGTGTCAGCAGCTGGGTGGGCACTCTGCAAACTTATGGGAAGATGCTCTTGTGGGGGCCTGCACAGGGTTTTGGGTGTAGATCAGGGATCTTGATCCACAGCAGGATCGAGGTGCTCTGCCCTGGCACTGGGTGGCCGCTGGTGTTGGAGCAGAACAAAGGGAAGCTTGGGTGAGTCAGCAGGAGGGAGTCTTCTGTCAGGGAGGCTCCATGGGAAGGGGGACAAATCCTGCCCCTGGGAGGTGGCTCTGGGGAGGGAGGGAGTGAGGACAGCAATGTGCCATCATCCCCGAGCTGCCATGGGTGATCCCAGTAGAGCTGGGAGCTGCTCTGGCGGCAAGGGATGTCTGTGTCCCTTGATAGGTGCCTTGTCAATACAGGCGTGCCCCAGGAGAGGGGCACGTGGGCTTTGGGATGTGCAGATTCTGTTCCCACTGTGCCGATGACATTCCTGCTGCCCTGCCCCTGGAGCGGGGATTGCTCTTGGAAATGAATGGCTTGCTGCCACTGCCAGCTCGGTGCTCTGCTGTGGTGACAGGGACATGCAGGAGTGTGGCTTTGCCTGGGCATTTGGAGGTGTTTTCCTGCTGGTTTGAGCTGGGAGCAGTTGGCCCAGCAGGCAGTGGGACACTGCTGCATCCCCCGGTCAGTCCCAGTCGTGCTGCACCGTGGCAGGAGCTGGGAGGAGCAGAGCATGTGAAAACCAGAGGAAATCAAGGAAGCATGAATCTTCCTGCCTGCTCCCCTCCCAGCCCGGTGTGCCCATCGATCTGTTGTGGAGGAGTTAACTTGTGCAGAATAGCAATGCTGCTACAAAGGCTCTGGCAGACCCCAGCCATGCTCCTGGCCACCTCCTGCCCAGCCCTGCATGGGTGGCAGTCAGGGAAAGGAGAAAAAAAAAAAAAATCAGGTCTAATCCAATCCCACTCATTTCCATGCAAGGTGGGAGGACAGGGAGCTGCAGCCAAGGATTTGGAAGGAGAGATGTTTCTAGAGGTCCCTTCTTGTTGCTTCACAGATGCCAAAAGGGAAGAGCAAGCTGAAAACTCAGCAGCAGAAGTTGCTGTTTCTCTGGAGCACTTGGAAAGTGCTGTCCCACCCTCTTCCCAAAGGAGAGGCTTTGGCTGTTGGAAATAGGTTATTTTATCGGGGTAGCAGGTGCTGAGGAGCCCGAGCTGCTGTCGAGCAGCAGTGCCCTGCCAAGAGGCTCTTTTCAGCTCTGTCCCTCCAAGCAGAGTGAATTCAGTGCTGGGAAAAAAGCTGGATTGAAAGCTGCAAGGAGACTTCTCTGTTATAAAGGCTTTGCTCCATACAATCCACTGTGGGGAATCGGTTTAGGACCAGAGACATTGGAGGTGTTCAGATGTTTCCTTCTATCTCGTGATGTTTCTGCTGGAGGGTACAGGCATGTCGTGGGTACCAGCACTTTGGATCACTGTATTAAATTTAAATCAAGCTTTAGATGTTGGGTTAGGGCTGCTGCCTGGGATAGGAGGGGTAGGATTTACTCCTGGGTGCAGCAAATCCTGCGGGAATAGGGAAGGGGCTTGAGGTTGTTGTGTCCAGCAGTACTGTGTTTTTATTGATGGATGTGTTGGTCCTGCCTTTGGGGTTACACTGAGGAATTGTGTGCAGGTGAAGGTCAGAGTTTTCTGTCCTTCCTTTTGTCCCCAAGCACAGATTGTGAGGATGGGGCTGATCTTCATCCCCTCCCACCATGTCCAGACAGCTCTGCCCTCACCAGTAGCAAGTGGTTCATGCTGGACAGGACCCATCCTGAACCTCCATGCAGTGCTTGAACTGGGTCCAGGCATTGCTGAGACCTTTGGAGCAGCTCTCTGGGCACCAAAACAAATGGCTTGATTATGATTTCACTTTAATTGGCATCAGTCAGCGCTTTCCATGGCGAGGCTCTGACATTCCCATCAGCAGCACAGGCGCCTGCATGGTGTCCCCCTGAATCCATGGTGCTCCTCTCTCCATCTCCTCTGGTTTCCTTGGCAGGGTGATGCAATGCCTTCATTTGTTCCCCTCTTTGATTCCAACACTAAAAGTCAAATCTGAGTTAAACATGAGGCAAAGCTTTTTTTAACCCTGATGTTTCCTGTGGTTTCCATGCAGGCTTTGAAAAGGGCTGTGAGCTCTGTCATTCTTTACCTAAGCCTGTTTTGCAAATTTATTTGGCCCCTGTTGTGCTCTTGAAATAATTTTGGAGAAATGATGACTTGGCTGTGAAACAAAACAAAATCAAGCATGTTTGTTTGATGGGTGCAAACAGAAAGTGCTTGTTTGCTAAGCAGAAAAGACTATTTTTCAGAGATGGGTCTGTTTTCTGTGGCTCTTTGCTGCCCCATCTTTTCCCCTTTATTCACAGGAATTTGCCTTGCTGTGTTTTTATTGTGCAATAGAAAAATAGGACTAATCTCCAGTGGGTAAATGTGGTGTGTTCCAGTACCCAGGTCCTGGGGGAGCCTCCATGTCTACCCCAGTGCTTTTCCTGCCAGCGTTTGAGTGAGGGTGATTCTTGCTGAGGTTTTGGGCAGCTGTCTTTGTGGTTTGCAGTCAATGAGTGCAGAAATCCTGCAGGGGGAGGAGGCCAGGGGAACCCATTCCAGGCTGTCTGTGCCTGGGAAAGCCTTGGCTGAGTCCTGGGGGTTTCAGGGGGGCTCAAAGAGCAGTGCCCAGCATCGGGCTGGGCTCCTGGTGTGAGTAACAAAAGCCAGACAGGGAAGAGGATGATGATGAAAGGGGCCAGCCATGATTGCTAAACCTCCTCTGATGGCTGCCCAGCTCTGTGTCCATTTTGCTCCAGGCTATCACTCCCACTCTGAGCTGCAATAACCCCACTGAGGGAGTGTTGCTTGTCCACCCTGTCCCACCAGCTGAGAACACCCCAAGTTAGGTATTCTCATCTCCTGCCCTGCCCAGCCAACTCCCCCCCTTCCCTGCACAGCCAGCACATTCCTTATTTCCAGATCAGTGCTCATCTGCCTCTCCAGGGCTCAGACCTGTGGAAAAGTCATCCCATTCTGATAGTCTCCACACCCAGTACCTGGTAATTTTCATCCTGCTGCAGTTATTTATTTCAGAGACTTCTGATTGCTTACCTAACTACTTCCCAAGCCCACAGTGGGAGATATAGCTGGTGCTTGCAGAGGCCAAGGTGTCACACCTTTGTTTTTCCCAGTTCCTGAGCAGTAAAGGAATTCTGAGCACCTGGGATGGGCTGGGAGCAGCTTCCAGCAGCCCTGTGGGGATGGGGTGAGGATGGAGCTAAGCTGCACACTCATGTCTTAACCTAAGTTACTTCCCCTAATTCTCCAGTATCCACCGCCTTTGCCCTTCTCCTTCAAACCTCTCACCTTTTCATCCTGAGGTTTAGGGAATAAATTCAGGGCTGTGATGACCCCTCCTGCATTAAGGTGAGGAAGGAGCAGAGCATGTTCTGCATCCCTCATGGTGCCACTTCACCCCTGCGTCTCTCCTTGTCCCATTGTTGCTGGGTCCTCCCTTCTGGTCAGAGTTTTGTCCCACGTTCCTGGGGATGCCCCGTGGAAGAGGCTGCAGGAGCCCCACGTGTGGGGTTTGTAGCTCACGAGCCGATTGCTGTGCTGGCAATGGCACGTTGCTGAAAGAGGAGTTTATTACTAAAGTGACATGTCAGCAAATCTCTGCCACCTCTCTCC